AAAAAAAAAAAAAAAAAAGGAGGAAAGAGAGTAAGAGCATAAGAAAGATAAGAAAGGGATGTGAGAAGGCAGCAAAAAGGCAGCTTTCAGCCAGCAGGAGCCATCACCAGGAAAAAAAGTCAGCCAGCATCTTGACCTTGAACTTCCCAGCATCCAGAACTGTGAGAAATAAACTTCTGTTGTTCAAGCCACCTGGTTTATAGTATTTTGTTATGGCAGTCTGAGCTGACTGACAGTTTCAAAAGCATCAAAGTCTCCCAGCTGCTCCTTCTGAATCTCCTCTATTGGTTTCTCCTCATCTCCCTGCTGTGCCCAGGATTCAGTCCTCTTAGTCCTCTTAGTCCTCTTTCCTTTTTTTTTTTTTGGGATGGAGTTTCACTTTTGTTGCCCAGGAGTGCAGTGGCACAATCTCAGCTCACTGCAACCTCTGCCTCCCAGGTTCAAGTGATTCTCCTGCCTCAGCCCCCTGAGTAGCTGGGATTACAGTCCCAATTTCAGGTGATCCGCCTGCCTCAGCCTCCCAAACTGCTGGGATTATAAGCTTGAGCAACTGTGCCTAGCCCCTCTTTCCTCCTTTTAAATTTAAATTTTATTTTAAATTAAGTCCCTGAAACAGAAAAGTAATTTATTTTTAGTATGAAAGTGATTGATTAATAATAGTTGTCTCATTATTCTGACTTACCCATATTCAAAACTCACCTGCTCAGAAAACTGCAAACCCATGGTTTCTAACAATCTCTACTTAACCATTAAGAAAGGATGTATAAGGATACCCGCCTAGTGTCAATCTGATCTCTCCTTTATGAGGTGTGTCTTTGGATATATAGGCGTCAGGGAGCTGCTTGAGGAGATGGTCTCTTCTTTATAGGAGCTCAAATGGTGAGCTGTGAGCTCTGCTGTTCATTCAGAGCTGCTGGGCAGGTACGTTTAGGTCTGCTGCAGCAGAACTCATAAGCTGCTTTTGGTTCCCAGGTGCTCTGTCCCAGGGATTTAGGGCTTTATTTATGAGTTTCCGTTATGCTGCTGCCTTCTTTTTTTTTTCCTTCAGGCCTGCCCTGCCCAGCAAGGAGGCAGCCTAGTCACTGTCGGCCTGTACAGGCTTTGCTGAGCTGCTGTGGGCTCCGCCCAGCTGCCGAGTGAACTTCCTTGCAGTTCTGTTTATATGGGTGTAGCTGGGGAGAGATAGCAAGGGGAGAAATGCCAGATGTAGGTGATGAGGAGGAAGGCAGCAAATCACACTGCCACGTGTGTACCTATGAAACAATTTTGCATGTTCTTCACATGTACCCCAAAACCTAAAATGCAATAAAATAAATAAATGGGGGAAAAAAAAGAAAGGATTTATAACAATAAAAGTTATGTACATAGGAAAGATCAGAGAGTAGAAAGTGTTAACCAGAGGTACCCAGAAAAGCTTTCTGTGACTGAAATAATACTTCCTGTCTAAGATTCAGGAATAAGATACTTCTTTTGGGACTGAGAAATTTACATGAGCAACCTTTGGTATCCAAACTGTACTTCTGAGCTCTTTGCTGTGCCATTTTTGGCTAGTCTAATGCAATCAGTTGGAGAAAGCAACACTGAGGAGGAGGAGGAGAAAGGAATTCTCAACCTCAGACCAATCTCTGGCCCCAGGGTTAGGACTGAGAACAAATACACTCAAGGCCTGCCACTGAATGGCAGTGGGACAACTTGGAAAACTAATGACTTAGTGCCAAGTCAGACCTGTTCTGAATACCTAGGTTGGCTCCATCCCAGGGCCCTTGTACTGAAGACCCTTGGAAGAATGAGAGGGAAGGTGAGAGGATGATACAGCTAGAGTTATGTGACTGGAAGGTAGTAACCCACAAGGATGTCAGCAGAAGCTCAGTGTCCTTCAGATAAGTGACATGACTCCACTGTTAGTGGTAGCAGGGCTGAGTAAATCTCTAATAATTTCAGGTTAGGCAGGATCTTGACTTATATAACTCATGGTAGAAGCTATAGGTACTACTCTGTAAAATCTTTGTATATATCCAAGAGGCTGGGACACTCATAGAGAGTGGCAGAACACGTGGTCTTCAAAGATCTACTTCTCTCTTGCTGGGAAGATCTTGCCACAAATTGGACAATTTGAACAAAGGGACTGCATCTGCTGTTGCTCCAAGGTGTAGTCACAAATATCATCTTTGCAGATGGGGCATTTCTTGATGGAGAGCAGGCTTGGGGAAGAACTTTCTTGGATATCAGAATATGGGTTTCCATAGACAAGTCCTGGATTTTGTCCTGTGCCTCCTTCATCTGAAATAGATACTTGATACGGCAAAGAATTAAAATCCAGACCCATGTAACTAAGCAATCTGCTGTTCTCCCTCTTCAAAAGATCATTTTCTCCTTCCAATCTCTCTTCTTCCTCTGCAGAACGTTACATATTATTCTGTTCTCGCTCAGTCTTCTTGACAGGTGAAAGTTTTCATCCGTTAATTCCTGTTGCTTCTTCATTGCAGTAGTTTCATTCTGCTTCATTTCCTCCAGTGGGCGCTCGAGCTTCTTCTGGTCCTTCCTCTGTTCAGTTAAACTGAGAAACAGGTGGTCATTTTCTTTTTACAGATGCTCTAACTGCTCTGTCTTATCTTGATCTCCCTGAACAAGCTTCTCCATTTCTTTCTCTCGATTTGACAGCTGGGCCTGAAGCTGATCCACTCTGATTTCCATCTTCTCATTTTCTGAGGACATCTTCTGGTTTTGTTCTTTTAGTTGACGCAGCTCTGTCTCCCAACAGTCCTCCTGCTCTTTCACTTTCAGTTCCCACTTCTTATTGATGCTCTGTAGGGTTTCTAGCTCCTCCTGCTTCTTTTGGAGCTCAGTCTGCATGTGTGAATTCTGCTTCTGGAGGCTGACACAGCTGTCCTTCAGCTCCTGGTTTTCTTCGCAAGCTCCTTGTTGTGCTGCTCAATCTCTTCCACCTCTCCCTGAGTGGTAACAACTAGGATGTCTTCCTCATTTTCTGGATGGAATTGGAAAGAAATACTTGCTCCCTGGACCACATCATCCTGACCCACATAGCAGAACTGGTAATACTCATCATCCTTGGGCAGGCAGTAAGCTTTGAATTGGACTTCCTGCTGTTTGGCTGATTCATTGTTTAGGTCAGTGGGCAAATTAACCTACATGAAGGTGTAATACTCACGGGTTGTCTTCCATCCCAGTCTGAAGATGCCAATCCAATCCTTTAGATGAGGGATGAAATGCTGGGTGAAGGCGTAATGACATGTGACATCCCTCCCAGGGATGTAGAACGTTTCCACACTGTTAAAGATGACCTGAGAGAAATGACAGTGATACAGCAAGACAGCTGATGTGGGGGGATCTTCGACAGTCTTCTCCATGGTAGGGGTCCAGGGAGAGCAGCCAGCAGTGGAGCAACAGCAACAGGCCCTCTTTCCCTTTTTACATGTACTTTCCTCATCCAGTCTCATATGCTGATGACTCCTAAATTTATATTACCAGTCTGGATTTTTCTCCTAACCTCCAGATTCCTATGTCCAACTGTGTACCCATCAGCACCATTTTGGTATCTAATATACATCTTGAGTTTAACCTGCCATAAACTGAGCTCCTTACTACCCATCCCTTTCCTCCACAATGTGCTTCTTCTGTAGCCTTTCTCATCTCCTGTAGTAAAAATTCATTCTTCTAGTTTCTCAGACAAAATCTTGGGATACTGACTCTTATTCATCTCACCCACATATAATCTATCCACAAATTCTATTGGCTCTATCTGCAAAAATATGTTGTAGAACTCACAAGTTGTTACCACTGTTAGGATCACCACTCTGGTCTGTCCCTGTCATCATAATCTCTTGTTTGGATGATTGAAATAATCCTCTGGTTCCTCCCTTAACCTTTAGTATATTCTCAACATGGAAGCTAGAGTAACCCATTTATAACACAATTCAGATCATACCACTTCTTATCTCAAAATCTTCCAACAGTTTCCATGTTACTCGGAAAGAAAAAGCCTAATCACAAGACCTAAAGATCAGTGCTCTCCACCTTAGTACTACTGATGTTTTTGACTGGATCATCCTCTGTTGGGGGTGCTGTCTTGTGCATTGTAGGATATTTAGAACCATCCCAGGGCTCTACCTACTAGGTGACAATAGTGCCTTCTCTCCAATTGTGAAAATCAAAATGGCTCCGGACATTGCCAGATGTCTCAATGGAGACATAATCGTCTCGGAGCAGTTGCTTTTAATGAAGTATAATGTTTGGGACTGGAGTTACAAAAAACACAATAAAAGGTCCTGGCTATAGGAGTTTGTATTCTGAGAAGGCAAGTTAAATTCCTTAAAAACAAAGTAAAATACTACTTTAAAATGCACTTAGGGCACAAGTCAGTAAACAACCAAGGAAAGGCAAGTGAGTGCAGTGAGGATTGAAGGTGGGGCATGCATTACGGGTAGGAGAAGTGGGGGAGGCTTTTCCGAGGAGGAGCAGGGGCTTCATCTCACCATGGTAGGCTCCTATTAAAGTCCAGGAGAGCTGATTCAAACAAAGATGTTGATGGGGAAATGGACATGGCAGATACGGGGGCCATGACAAAAGGCCAGAATTCAATGCATCTTAAACTTTGTTTGGGGCATAGTGAAGACAACTTGAATAATATAATAACACACAGAAGACTTCCCATGGTTCTTTCTGTTGCCTTTCCTCTTCCCTCAGGATCTTTTCAGAGTTTTTGTATTTGCCTTGAATTTAACCTATGTCTCCTGCCATAGTAAGAGGGATGAGCAGTGGTTCAAAGGATGTAACTAGCTCCTGCATTTCTCCCTAGCCGAATGACAACGGAGACTTCCAACAATCCAGCCCCAAGTTTTTAGGCCCAGAAGGTGTCTCCTAATGTAAATGACACTACTGGTTAGATTGGGTGACTGCCCATGATTTTCTGTCTCACATCTTTGCATTTCCATTTGTCTTTGTTTCAGTAAAATGCCCTTGTTGTTCTCTCTACCCTATCTTAGCCCTCTTCCACCTTCAAGGCTCAGCACAAGCTCCACCTCCTCCAGAAAGCCTTCCCGAGCTTCCTCTTACTTCCCAGACCCCTTATAGTTTGCATCAGCATGCATGACCTTTCTGACATATTGTTCTTCATTTTTTATTTCAAAAGTCATTTTTTGATATAAATTAATATATACTAATTATGGAAAATTGGGAAATATGGAGTACATAGAAGATAAAAAGCCTATCCATAATCCAGCCAACCAATACTGTTATTAACCACCTTCAATCTTTTAATATATTCCCTTTTGCACCCCTTTCCTTCAATTTTTAACATAGCTGAATGCATTATGGTCTCTGCAAATTTATGTTTTCACTTTGCTTTAGCCATCTCACATTATAATGACAGAATTTCTATGTTATTAAAGGTTTCTTATAAAGAGAAAAAAGTAATTTATATTTATTGATCATCTGCTAACAACTAGTCACTGTGGTACCCACAAGATACATGTGTAGTCAACTGTGTAAATTTGTTATAATTTTCTTAACTATTGCCTTTTCTTGGATATCTAGGTTATTTTAATTTTTTTAAAAAGCAATTAAAATAACATTTTAAAAGACAGCATTACTTTTCTGTATTCTTACCTTTTTCTTTTTTATACATATGTATATATATATTTTATTACATTTTAGGTTTTGGGGTACATGTGAAGAACATGCGAGATTGTTGCATAGGTAGATACATGGCAATGTGGTTTGCTGCCTTCCTCCCCTTCACCTATATCTGACATTTCTCCCCATATTATCCCTCCCCAACTCCCCACCCCCCGCTGTCCCTCCTTTAGTTCCCCCTCACAGACCCCAATGTGTGATGTTCCCTTCCCTGTGTCCATGTGTTCTCATTGTTCAACACCCACCTATGAGTGAGAACATGCAGTGTTTGATTTTCTGTTCTTGTGTCAGTTTGCTGAGAATGATGATTTTTCAAGTTCATCCGTGTCCCTACAAAGGACATGAACTCACCGTTTTTTTAATGGCTGCATAGTATTCCATTGTGTATATGTGCCACATTTTCCCTGTCCAGTCTATCATTGATGGGCATTTGGGTTGGTTCCAGGTCTTTGCTATTTTAAACAGTGCTGCAATGAACATTCGTGTGCATGTGTCCTTATAGTAGAACGATTTATAATCCTTTGGATATATACCCAGTAATGGGATTGCTGGGTCAAATGGAATTTCTATTCCTAGGTCCTTGAGGAATCACCACACTGTCTTCCACAATGGTTGAACTAATTTACACTCCCACCAACAGTGTAAAAGTATTCCTATTTCTCCACATCCTCTCCAGCATCTGTTGTTTCCAGATTTTTTTTTAATTGCATTTTAGGTTTTGGGGTACATGTGAAGAACATGCAAGATTGTTGCATAGGTACAAATATGGCAGTGTGATTTGCTGCCTTCCTCCCCTTCACCTATATCTGGCATTTCTTCCCCCACCTCCCCACCCCCAGTCCCTCCCCAATTTCCCCCCAACAGAACCCAGTGTGTAGTGCTCCCCTCCCTGTGTCCATGTGTTCTCATTGTTCAATACCCGCCTATGAGTGAGAACATGCAGTGTTTGATTTTCTGTTCTTGTGTCAGTTTGCTGAGAATGATGATTTTCAGGTTCATCCGTGTCCCTACAAAGGACATGAACTCATCGTTTTTTTAATGGCTGCATAGTATTCCATTGTGTATATGTGCCACATTTTCCCTGTCCAGTCTATCATTGATGGGCATTTGGGTTGGTTCCAGGTCTTTGCTCTTTTAAACAGTGCTGCAATGAACATTCGTGTGCACGTGTCTTTATAACAGAACAATTTATAATCCTTTGGATACATACCCAGGAATGGGATTGGTGAGTCAAATGGAATTTCTATTTCTAGGTCCTTGAGGAATCGCCACACCGTCTTCCACAATGGTTGAACTAATTTACACTCCCACCAACAGTGTAAAAGTGTTTCTATTTCTCCACATCCTCTCCAGCATCTGTTGTCTCCAGATTTTTTAATGATCACCATTCTAACTGGCATGAGATGGTATCTCAATGTAGTTTTGATTTGCATTTCTCTGATGACCAGTGATGATGAGCATTTTTTCATATGTTTGTTGGCCTCATGTATGTCTTCTTTTGTAAAGTGTCTGTTCATATCCTTTGCCCACTTTTGAATGGGCTTGTTTGTTTTTTTCTTGTAAATCTGTTTTAGTTCTTTGTAGATTCTGGATATTAGCCCTTTGTCAGGCGGGTAGATTGCAAAAAATTTTTCCCATTCTGTTGTTTGCCGATTCACTCTAATGACTGATTCTTTTGCTGTGCAGAAGCTGTGGAATTTCATTAGGTCCCATTTGTCTATTTTGGCTTTTGTTGCCAATGTTTTTGGTGTTTTAGTCATGAAGTCGTTGCCTATGCCTATGTCCTGAATGGTTTTGTCTAGGTTTTCTTCTAGGGTTTTTATGGTGTTAGGTCTTATGTTTAAGTCTGTAATCCACCTGGAGTTAATTTTAGTGTAAGGTGTTAGGAAGGGGTTCAGTTTCTGCTTTCGGCGCATGGCTAGCCAGCTTTCCCAAAACCATTTATTAAACAGGGAATCCTTTCCCCATTGCTTGTTTTTGTCAGGTTTGTCAAAGATCAGAGGGTTGTAGATGTGTGATATTGCCTCCAAGGCCTCTGTTCTGTTCCATTGGTCTATAACTCTGTTTTGGTACAAGTACCATGCTGTTTTGATTACTATAGCCTTGTTGTAGTAAAGATTGAAGTAAGGTAGTGTGATGCCTCCAGCTTTGTTCTTTTTGCTTAGAATTGACTTGACTATGAGGGCTCTCTTTTGGTTCCACATGAAGTTTAAGGTGTTTTTATCCAGTTCTGTGAAGAAGGTCATTGGCAGCTTGATGAGGATAGTGTTGAATCTATAAATTCCTTTGGGCAGTATGGCCATTTTCACAATGTTGATTCTTCCTAACCATGAGCATGGAATATTTCTCCATCTGTTTGTGTCCTCTCTTATTTCACTGAGCAGTGGTTTGTGGTTCTCCTTGAAGAGGTCCTTTACATTCTTTGTTATTGTATTCCTAGTATTTTATTCTCTTTGTAGCAATTGTGAATGGCAGTTCATTCTTGATTTGGCTCTCTTTAAGTCTGTTTTTGGTGTATAGGAATGCTTATGATTTTTGCACATTGATTTTGTATCCTGAGACTTTGCTGAAGTTGCTTATCAGTTTCAGGAGATTTTGAGCTGAGACAATGGGGTCTTCTAAATATACGATCATGTCGTCTGCAAATAGAGACCGTTTGACTTCCTCATTTCCTAATTGAATACCCATTATTTCTTTTTCTTGCCTGATTGCTCTGGCTAGAACTTTCATTACTATATTGAATAGGAGTGGTGAGAG